TCTCTGTCTCGGTCTTCTCTGTCTCGGTCTTCTCTGTCTCGGTCTTCTCTGTCTCTGTCTTCGCTGTCTCTGTCTCTCTCTCTCTCTCTCTCTCTCTGTTTGAGACTTCCTGACTGCTACGTCGCCACATCTGGAGGAAGTCGTAGCCCATCTAGAGGCTATGTTTCCCATATCTGAGACCTAGGTCGGGTCATCTTGCGGCTACGTGTGCCATATCTGAGACTATGTTGGGTCCTCTTGAGGGCCTCTGTCAGATCATCTTGGAGCACATGTTCCGCCTTTGCTCTTAGCGCGCGCCCGACACCCACGAAATGTCGATTAAGCTTGTCCGCGCGGCACGCATAACCGACACCACGGGCGCCCTTTTAGGCACGCCGAAGGCCACAAAACACTGTAAAAACCGATGTTTTTCAACATCCTGCGCAAGATACATATAAATCTGTCGACCAGATTTGGGCGGGGGTCGACACGGGGTCGGGCGGAGGTATCCCCGCGGTCGAACAAAAGGGTCGGCGGCAGGGGCGGCGAGCGTATATAACCTTCGGTTACCAACCGAAGGCCTCCGGCAAGGGAACGTGCGCGTGGCCGGCGCCCGGATTGTAAGGGCTCCGCCCGGGTGCCGCCGACCCCTATTTTAATGGTGCCCGCCACAAATCTTGCCGTGTCCACACGTCTAACGCGCACAAAGGACTGCGCCTGCCACGAAATGTCACCTGCGTCACACCTCGCAACCTCACGAGTCCTTGCGCCTGCCACGAAAATTGTACTTCCACACCTTCTGCGCCTGCCACGAAAAGTGACAATATCATCTCCCTTGAAAACATAGTCGTTAAGAAAAATAGGGAACCAACCAAAGGCTGGAACAATGCCATCACTGCCGTAAAGTCGCTATATTTTGTTTTGTGAACATTGGCATTCATGTGCCGAATGGTTCTGGAAAGGTCATTTGTTCACCACGCGCCCACACGTCTAACGCGCACAAAGTACTGCGCCTGCCACGAAATGTGACCTCCGTCACACCTCGCAACCTCACGAGTCCTTGCGCCTGCCACGAAAATCGCGCTTCCACACCTCAGAAGCCGCACCTGCGCCTGCCACGAAAAGTGACAATATCAACTCCCTGGAAAACATAGTCGTTAAGAAAAATAGGGAACCAACCAAAGTCTGGAGCAATGCCATCACTGCCGTAAAGTCGCTATATTTTGTTTTGTGAACATTGGCATTCATGTGCCGAATGGTTCTGGAAAGGTCATTTGTTCACCACGCGTCCACACGTCTAACGCGCCCAAAGTACTGCGCCTGCCACGAAATGTCACCTCCGTCACACCAACCTCACGAGTCCTTGCGCCTGCCACGAAAATCGCTAAAACAGTTGCCTCGCATTCCCAGAGGCAGAGCCCAGGCAAGGCTGCGGTGCAGGAGTGGGCCAGAGGCTCCGGGAAGGGTTTGAGGCCTGGCAAACGACACACCTGCACCGGCTTTGCCAGGCAAGGCTGCTGTGCCTTACTAGGCCAAAGGTGCTGGGAGGCCTTTGAAGGGGAGGTGCAAGGCTGCGGTGCAGGAGTGGGCCAGAGGCTCCGGGAAGAGTTTGAGGCGTGGCAAACGACACAATCTATTTCCACCAAAAACTGGTCCAAAACAGGCCTCGACTGTTCGCACTTTCGGTGCCAAGCTTCCTAGAAAAGAAATGGTTTTTATCCATGTCCTCGCCCATCCTGACCCTAGAAAAGAACTGGTTTTCATCGTTCTCGCCCATCCTGACCCTATGAACCGGCCTCAAACCCTTCCCGGAGCCTGTGGCCCACTCCTGCACGGCAGCCTTGCCTGGGCTCTGCCTCTGGCAATGCGAGGCAACTGTTTTATGGGCTCCCGAAGGCGACGTGCCAGGTGACGTCAGGCATTTTGGTTGGCCCCACCTCCCCTTCAAAAGCCTCCCAGTCGAGGACCATTTTGGAGCAGTTTTTGAAGGGGAGGTGGGGCGGTGCTGAAGGGGAGGTGGGGCCAACCAAAATGCTTGACGTCACCTGGCGCGTCACCTTCGGGAGCCCATAAAAAAGTTGCCTCGCATTGCCAGAGGCTCCCTCGAGAGTGACCTGCACCGGCTCTGCCAGGCAAGGCTGCTGTGCCTTACTAGGCCAAAGGTGCTGAGGCCTTTGAAGGAGAGGTGCAGCCATGCCTTATGCTGGAGGCAAAAAAGCGAACAGCCCACGGGGTGGCAGCTCGACCAGGACATGAACCGCCCACGGCTTGATGGTAGTGCCAGGACATGAAAGCAGAGGTAGAGAGGTCAATGCCAGGACTTGAAAGCAGAGGTCTGCCAATGCCAATGTTGCACCCTGCGGTGTCTCGGGCGCCTCCCCACCTAGGCTTCGGCTAGGCCGGGGTCGGCAGATTTCAGAAAATAGATGGCACTGGCACCCCGAGATGTTTTTACGAATATATGGGGGGTCCATATAACTTATAACCGACCTTGCGAGGTCCCGGCACGTGCCATCGAACCGCTAAACCGATGGACGGGGAAGGAAGTATGACAGGTGCGGGGACTCTGACGAACCCACCACGAGGACCACCCAGAGCAGGCACCTTCACCACCAACCAATGGCTCCTGATTGTGCAGAATGCATTCCTCAACCAAGCGAAACTAAGTGTTTTGATCAGTCCAGGCGCCGATGGGATTCTATGTCGTTCAGTCCAGTTCAGGCAACCACCAAGATCTTCCTTTGCCACAGCCTGTGCCAAAAAGTTGGTGGGCCAGAGTTGTTCAATGAAAACGAATATAGCATTATATAGCTCAACATTATTTGTGTTCAACACCGGACCTTGGAATTCCAAGGTCTCGGATGGCTTTTTGCAAGCGTTTCTCTTCGGGTCCTATGGTTCACTCATTTCAGCGTGACACGCTACTGTTCCATTGTTTCCCGAATGGTTTTCATCATGGTTTCAACTCGCATGTTATCATATTTGGAGCTCAAGCACTTTCCATTGTTGATCGTGCAAGTTGATGTTTGTGATGTTTCGTGTCGCTTGGCACCATGGCTACCTTGGCCCTTGGCTCTTTCTTGTTTCCATCCGGACCGCAGAAAGAAAAAAACTAAGGGCACTCCCAGATGTCGTTCCATGCATGCCCCTGTATAGTGATTTTGAAACAGATAGTGGCACGGTTTCCAATAGATTTTCTACCTGGGGATCTACGAACTTCTGTTTACTTGGGGGTCTATATCTGGAAGCTGCCGCGATGGGCTGTCGCCGGTGTTTTTTTTCAGGTCCTTTTCCAGTCGGAACGCGCGGCTTGACGCGGCGGGTGACTGGAGGTATGCAGATCACCGCCCCGGTGATGACCTACATCGATGCATTGAATGCCTCTCTCTTGGAATGGGAGCGGAACATGAGCAAAGCAGCCAAGAAGAGGAGAGGGAAGAGGGGAGAGGGGCGGAGAGTGGAGATAGGTGAGGGGGAGGAAAGGGATGGAAAGAGAGGGGTAGGTGGTTGCACTCGCTTGCGATGTGCTGCGATGGAACAACAATCGGCTGCCACCGCCTGGAACAACAATCGGCTGTCACCGCCTGGAACAAAGCCTGGATTCATGGAGAGATGAGCAGGTGCGGGCTGGAATGGGTTCCAGTTAAAGCCGACTCCTGTCAGAAACACCTGATGCTAATTCAAGACGCTTCGCGTCGACAGCCGCCCACACCGCGCACGAACTGCCGAAGTTAGTGAAATGGAAGTAGCCATCTAGGCGCCAGGTTGGCTGTCTTACGGCTGCGTTGGAGCCATCTTGGGG